AAAGTTCGAAGCACGACATCAGCTGAGCAACGCTGTCTTGTGTGGTGATCGAGGGGAGGTCGAGTTCGAGACAGTGAGTGAGTGGAAAGAAAGCCACCAGGTCTTTTACTCGTCTCATTTTGGAGCAAATAGTCCTACCTTTGTTATATTTTCTCATCTACTGTACCTGTACTGTATGCCGCAATTTTTGGACAATATATTGTTGCACTTTGTTGCTTGTGTTGTCACCAATGTATGTTGTTAACATACCGTACTTGGACGTTCATACCGGACATATACCATAGTTATCTCACTGTTCTCATGAAAAAAAGTATGGTAATACTTGAATGCTTTTGTTCTGTTGATGTTTGGTATGGACTGTCAACATATATGTTTTTTTATATGTACCATATCTTGTGCTGACCCGGCCCACCTGTCAAATTTAGAAATCAATATGGCCCCCGAGCTAAAAAGTTTGCCCACCCCTGGTCCAAGGCGTGCCTTTTGGGCGCTGGGAGCGACGGACCGGCGGGCGACCCTGGCCGGCTCTGCCCGCGGCTTCAAGGAGTGGTCTATTAGGCGAGGCCAAGGAACCACCTCGCTTGTATGCAAATTAGCCATGTGCGCAAAAGCTGCGCGATTTTAAGTACGACATTGTCTGAAATGAAAAATAAAGGCCTCTTGAATTTGGGTTGGCTGCTCCAATCGCGGCCACTTTTTTTATGATGCTCCCTCCTAAATAGTGAAACAAATATCTGAATGAAAATGAACGAATTACACCACAAAGGACGCCAGGAATGAACTCGCTTCACACATCTATTTATTGAACTAACTTCACACACCACATCAATTTCTAGAAGATTTATCACAGCATACAAAACACACACACACACACGAGACGTTATGTAGGACAGGAGATTAGGTGTCTTGCGCAGCAGCAGCCGTCTCCTCTCCTTGCTGTGCAAGGGCAGTCTGTTCATGAATGAACTGTGACCGTAAGCCGCCTGTGCTGGGAGGCCACACTTTATGCATGTTCTGGTTTTATAGGGTTGGAGGACTGCTGCCTCTCAGTAGTTTGGGTGTTCTAGAGCTGCGGCTGCTGCCTCTGAGTTTGGGGGTGCTGGCCTGGCTGGCTCTTCTGTCTTTTGTGATGGCTACCCCCTCCTCCTCCTTAACAACCAGGTTTTTTTGGATCTTTTGCTCGGCGGCCTTCGTCTTTTCCCTGGCCACAGTCTGGCTTTTATGTTGCTGTTTATGCAAAGTGTGTGAGAGGCTGGGCAGCCGCGACTGTGGCAGGGAAGGCGGGGGACCATCTCCCTTCGTCGTTAGGATGGGGGAAGCGGGGGACCACCTCCCTTGGTCGTTGGGGTAGTGGGGCCCTCATTGGTGGTTGCGGGAAGCAAACGACGCAGTCGGGGAGGAGCAGGCTGGGGCTTAGTGCGTGGTGGTGCAGGACCGCTCTGCGGGAGGTCACATCAAATCGTCACGTTAAGTACTGGTTGGGTGTGAAAACAAAGCAAGAGTGGGCTGTGACAACAATGAAGCAACGAGTGTGAACGTGGCTTTGCACGCTGCCAGGTAGGGTGTCAAGAGCTCTCAAAAAGAAGGAGCAAAGTGAGAGCTTCACAACCGACCGACGCTGACATCTCTGATGGACCCTCTCAAGGCCTGTCTGGCCGAAAAGGGACATTTTTGGGAACTGTGCGTCCCACGGGAAAATTATGCGTCTAGGACACAGGAAGCAGAGGTAACGAGATGGCTGGATCATCTGAGATGGACCTGGTTCCTTGCCTGCCTGGCTGAAAAGGGACAGGGACACAGTGGGACATAAAGTGACATCACCTTTCTGGCCATGTCCTGGCTCCTCTTCTCTTCCAGCCAGTCCTCCACTGAACGACCCGCCGCCAGTGAGCAAAAGTGCTCATTCCTGTAGCGGCTATGGCCAAACGCCTTTGTTTTGGGGTTGCCACAGCGCTTGCAGAGGAAATGAGCAACTTTTGGCAGCCTCACTCGGTGCATGACATTCCATGCTATTTTGCTCCCCTTGTCTGATGGCAGACCAGAGTTGGAGGAGGCGGTGGGCGCGAGAGTTAATGAAGTGGGGGCTGGTGCTGAAGTGGAGGCCCTCGGACTGGTGGAGGTAGTCGCGGCGGGCGAAGAGGTGGAGCACTCAGCTTCGGGCAGCACCTGGAAAAGATCTGGCAGGACAGGACCCCTGTGAGTCACCACCCGACCGGATGTCTCTGTCGGGTGCTCAAACACTCGGTGCCCCTGGTGCTGCCGGTCCATTAAGGGCCTGGCCTCTGGGAGCACGTCTGCAGCCGTCAATTTGCTGCTGGGGGCCGGGATCGCCACGCACATTGTTTGCATGCTGTACTGCTTGCTTCGCTGGTTGTGCCTGGAAAGAAACAAATATAGTTGTTGAAAGGCTTGTCATTGGCAACGTGCCGCCGGCTAGTGAGGAAGCCTGATGCACCACTGGGTGAGGGTCCGGTGGTTAACCGCAAAAAGGTGGACGGGGGCTGCAGCCAGGAGCTCTCTGGTCCTGCACAGGTCTCTGATGCGACCGTAGTCACGCATGACCAGGCCCCAGCGACTGATGCGGACACCGGCGAGGCTATGGCCCTGGCTGTGAATGTGGGACAGGTCCGAGAAGATGGCCTCCACCAGCCTGCTGGCACCCGGAGAGCGTGCCACTTCTTTTCCCTTCCCAACAAAGAGACTGCGAAGAGATCATGTCATATTCGAGGACCAGATACTTGACAAAACTGCCGTCAGCCGGCGCCGATATTTTACATGTACCGTTTGGCAGCCTCCATGCCCGGCACGTGGGGACCCTTGGAGGTTCCTGCCTTAGCGCGGCCCTTCTGGCGCGGTTGAAGGGCCCCTGGAGGAGCCTTATCGTGGTCGGCCAGCTTCTGCCACAAGGCTTTTATTTGTGACACCTGAGTCGGTGTCACGAATGCATTGCGGCGCAGCTGCACAAGCGCGTCAGCCAGCCGGCAGACGTGCTGGTAGCCACCTTTGCCGTCCCAGCCCACGACATCCTCCTCCTGTGTTAAAAGAAGTGCTTGACATAATATATATGTGGTGTACAGAAAAGAGACAGAACAAAACTGAGATAGAGAGTCAGACATACCTCTTCCTCCTGGCACCTCTGCCCTGGCTCATTTTCCGGGAGACCCTCAGTCAGTGCCGACATGGCCAACACGCGATGGAATTCCAGCCCCTCCTCCTCCTCCACTTACTCATCATCCATGACCTGGTCTTGCCAGTCACCCACATCTTCCTCATCTCCTCTCAGGTAAGACTTGAGCACAGTGCCGGTCTGCGCTTGCAGATACTCCACCCCGATGAGCTCCCCTGAATGCGAGTCACAGTCAGCACTTACTATGTCAGACTTTGTGTAAGAATCACTCTCAAACATAGTCCTCCGTGAGCCTTACCTGTGTAATTCCCCGGTGCGGTGTAATTGTACAAGGGGGAGGGGATCTGGCGCGCCCGTACCACCTCTTGGAAGGCATCCACCACACGTGCATTATAGGAACGCATCTGGTCTCTGCCACCGCCCACCACGGCAGCCCTGGCTCTGTCCTCGTTCCATCTGGTCAAGCCCTCCAGCAGGTACACCTGAAAGTGGAGGGCGTTGGCCGATGTGCCTGCAGAGTCGGAAATGCGACGGAATTAAGACTTTGGCACGAACATATGGGCACAATATGCACAGGCTTTTAACTCACCCGGAATGAATCGGCACTGTTGAAGGTGGAAGGACTCCAGGGAGGTGGACCCCCGTGCGCAGCGGAACACCGGGAGCGTGACCCCACCTTTTTTGACCTCCCCAGTTTTTGTGTACAGGGCGACACCTGGTGGGTCCTGGATGCAGCGCAGGTGGCGACGCTGCGTCCTCCAGATTTCTGTCATTCGCTCCTGGTTTATGAGGGGATTGCCCATTGTGTCCTTGGCCTCCCAAAAGTGGTCAAGCACCTCCTGGACAAGACTCTCCGTCATCTCTGCTCCCCTGGTGCGGCAGCGACAATGTTGCTCCAGCTCTTTGGCCTTCAGGGTGATGCGGACGCCCTCCACTGCCTGCTTGGCCCTCTTCAGCCTTTCGATGTCTTCTGGATCCCACTCGAAGATGGCTGAGGCAAGCCGGGCCATAAAGGGCCCATACAGAAGGTGAGCATTTGTATTGACACCCCTGGCAAAGCGATGCATGAGGTGCCACACGTCCAGGCGCACCACCAACCGGTCCCACTGGCCAAAGGTGCGCTGGATCTGCCAACACAAGCCGACCTTCGCATCAGACACCACACCAGAGAGTGTACGAGACAGCCCCCCCCCTCACCCCAAAAGAAAAACCACAAAACAAAACAAATTCATAAATCAAACAAAACCGCCTACTTTGCTCTTCCCGGTGATGGAGCAACAGTCATGGTCAATGTACAACACAACTGGGGGTGGCTTTCCCGCGTCCTTGTACCGCCGGACCAGTCCGTCCGCCATGGCCGAAAGGCCCTCTCCCTCCGCGGCCGTGAGCACGGACATGAGCACCTGCCCGTGCTCATTGCCCACATTGGTCACCCAGGCGGCCGTTCCGGCGGCTTCCCCTGCCAGCTTCTTGGTCAACTGCAGGTGAAAAGGCACACACGACATCAACGCAACTGTCATTACCACGGTCACGTCCGTGTGATGAGTGAACGACGCACCTTCTTGGTGGAGACCATCTTCAGGATGCTTCCAAAAATGGAGGTGAGACGGGCCTTGTTGTCCTCGAGGCGGGGGAGCACGTCCATCACATAGGCTGTAAGGAACCACGGCACGCGAGGGAGCGGGCGCATGGGCGGGACATCGCCCCCCTCGTTGACCGGGACACCCAGCTGCGTGAGGATGGACAGGTAGCCAGTGCACCTGGCCAACCACTCTTCGCTGTGGATCTCCATCAGCACCTGGCGCAACTGAGTGGCACTGTTGCCCAGCGAGCGAGTCCTCATCAAAGATATTACTGCTTTGTCACAAGCCAGTCTAAAGAGGTGAGGAGAGAGGCAGGGAATCGTCAGTGCCACAAAACGGGGAATGAACGAGAAGGCCAACCGACCGGCTCGCTACTCACTTGTAAGTCAGGACTGCCGGGAACATTAACTGCTTGGAGATGTGCAGTTGCTTCCGGATGTTCTCTTCCCAGGCAGAGTACTTCCTGTGGCACTTGAGGCACTCAAGGCACTCGGTGCCCATGAAGTACCAGCCCCTGACATTCAGCACCCGCCGAACAGTCTTGTACAGCCCGCCTCCGGTCAGGCGGTCGTGGTTGCAATCGGGGCACGCCAGTTTCACCCCCCACATTTTGTATGGCGCCCACAAGAAGAATTTAGAATGGAAAAACTGCCTGTGTGAAGCGGGGGGCTGCGTAAAATACGCGGGCGGGCTTGGGGGCTCCCACCACAGCTTGAGTTTGGTGGTGAGGACCGCTTTGCCACTGGCCGTTCTGTCGAACAGCGCTCGGCCGACCCACGCGTGCTCGCTCTCAGGTAGTGTGGCGAGCCAGCCGTTTGGAAGCACACCCTGCTGCTTTGGCGCCGGCAGATGTGGCAACGTGTCGCCACGAGCCCAGACCACGGGGGCGGCAGAGCGCCCTGCAGGAGCAGGCGATGTGACGGCAGTGCTGGTGGCAGACGAAGTGGAAGCCTCGGACACTGGCACAACATGAGATGAAATAAAGTCACTTCTCACGTTTAATTTCTTTGTGCATGTTTCCCACTGACACAATGAAGTCACTCACGCTGCTGAGACTCCACCTCCATGGCAGCTGCAAGGAGGACGTCGTCTGCTGGCTCAGACAGTGCTGACGGCCGCTCACTTGTGGCTGTACAGAGACGCAAATTGGCACAAATATGGGGCCATTTGGACCCATGAGGACCCATGATGGTGAGGTCAGTCTTTTACCTGGAGGAGATCCTTTGTAATTTGCCTCATTGTCTCTCCCAACGATGTAGGCATTCAAGGTGTGGAAGAAGTAGCCTGGCAAACCAACTCTCCCTGTGCGCATACGATGCACATACCTACACACAGAAACCACCGAAATATACACTCGTTAAGCAATGAGAAGTTTTCACCTTCCCATACATAACAAACACAATTTACGCTTTATGCCGCTCATCAGTCGACTCGTAGAGAGAACAGTAGCTTTCGCTGGGGAACTGTCCCATTTTCAGCAGTTGCTGATCGAGCTCCCTGACCAACGGTGCTCCCATCACCATCAGCCGATGCCGCACGACAACGGCCATCTCTGGGAAGAGGTGCGCGTACATCGCCAGGGCATCTTTATTAGCTGCCAGGGGTGACTGCGACATGTCGCCGTTTTCTCTCTCTTTCTGGTGAGAAGCCACAACCATGGCCCCGTAGCCCACATCATTCTCAAGGAGCCATTTGAATGTTTGGCCCCGGTACTGGCCAAACTGGAGCGTAGTCTCACTGAGCACCAGTTGCCAACACTCGGGGTCTCCCCCGCCTTGAACAACGCGGGCCACGGCCTCCTCCTTCACCTGGGAAGCCCTCTTGCAGGTGGCAACTGTAGGTTTTGATCTAAAACAATAAATAAGGTGTATTTGCCTCCTTTGCAATGACACTTTTGAAATCAAAACATGGATGTACCTGTATGCTCGGGCCAGCTTTGTTGCCTGAGCAGTGCACTGCTCCCGTAAATGCTTCATACCAGGTGGCATGAACACAAAGTTCGGATTGAAATCCATTGCCTACCACACACACACACACACACACACACACACACAGCACACACACACACACACACACACACACACACACACACACACCAGTATGTTTTCCCCCCTTCAATTATCCATGTCGGGAAAATAAATCAAAGTAAAATGTGTTCGACTGGGGTAATTGTCGACTGTTTACCTTGAAATTATTCCACCGATATATGTGACTTTTTTTTTTTTCATCCATCGCATCCGCGCACGGAAAAATACTCCCCCTTTGTATTCACTTCCAAACATGTACATCGGTTGTAACTGATTAGAAGTGTTGAAGTAAAATATCATTTCAACTTTTGTGAGGGACAGGGAGAGAGCGGAAAATGTAAAACTACAGTAGATGGGCATACATTCGCGTAATTCGTACGATTGAAGAGATTCTGGTCTCTTTATAAATACACTGGCTCAACCCCAGTGGAATGAAAAAAGACGTGGACAGGACAGCTATTGTTTGTAGAAAAATATATATTTGGATAGAAAAAGAAAAGAAGAGAAACATACAGATGACTGGAGAGCGTGTCCGTCCAACCTCGAGCGTCGTGTCGTCTCAACTCAGTAACTTAGCTGTTGTCGTGGCTAGGCCAGCTTAGCCTTTGTCGAAGATCAAAGCTCTTTGATATGTCACATCCGTTGCATCAGCACTGATTGGTTGAAGCCAAAAGATGTGCGTGCGTACACGTCCACGATGATGCACGCGCAGCGGAGAGCAGCAGACTATCGACTGCTGAGTCGCGCTTCACTCGAGTGCCGTCGCTTCCGGGCCCCCCTCTTGGATCCATCGGTCTTGGACATGATCGACAGCAGCCTCTCTTCTGGTATAGTTCCCCAACAGTTTAAACATGCTGTGGTCCAACCCTTGATCAAGAAACCTGGTCTTGATCCAGATGTGCTGTAAAATTTCAGGCCCATTTCCAAACTGCCTTTCACTTCAAAAATTCTGGAAAAAAGTGGTGCACATGCAGTTGAAATCTTTCTTGGATGAACATAACATCTTGGAGGTCTTCCAGTCAGGTTTCAATACGATGCATAGCACGGAGTCAGCCCTGTTACGCGTTTCTAATGACATCCTCCTGGCAAATGACACTGGAGACTACATGTGTCTAGTTTTATTGGATTTAACTGCAGCATTTGATACAGTGAATCACAGTATTCTGCTGACTTGTTTGCAGCACTTGGTGGGCATTGGCGGTAGTGCTCTTGAGTGGTTTAGGTCCTATTTAGCTGACAGAACCTTTTGTGTCAGCCTTGGCTGCTCTGAGTCACGTACTGCTCCCCTGTCATGTGGTGTTCCACAGGGCTCAATTCAGGGGCCTCTGCTGTTCTCACTGTATCTGCTCCCACTGGGTTCCCTCTTAAGGAAACATGGTATTTCCTTCCACTGCTATGCAGATGACTGTCCGATCTATGTCCCACTGAGCAAAAAAGATGCTTTCTCATTAAGGCCACTTCTATCCTGCCTGGAAGAAATCAAACCCTGGATGGCAAAAATTTCTTGAATTTCAATGAAAAGAAGACAGGTGATACTGTTTGGTCCCAGTGGCCCTTGTACATCCCATCCTGTAGACTTTGGCCTCCTGTCTCCTTATCTTTAGTCAACAGTCTCAAACTTGGGTCTTCCTTTGGACAGTGATTTCAAACTTGACCGGCAAATTGGTGCAGTTGTTAAATACAGCTTCTTTCACCTTAGACAGCTGGCCAAAGTAAAACCTCTCCTCTCTCATGAACACTTTGAGACAGTAATTCATGCCTTCGTCACATCCCCGGCTCGATTACTGCATTTGGAGTGAGCCAATCCTCCATTAAGCGCCTCCAGCTGGTCCAGAATGCCGCTGCTCGCCTCTTGACTGGTACTCGTAAGAGGGAGCACATAACTCCTACTCTGGCATCCCTTTACTGGCTCCCTATATATTTTAGAGTTATTTTCAAGATACTATTATTTGTTTTCAAATCTCAAATTACCTGGCGCCACCTTACCTCTCTGAGCTCATCCGCCCCTACACACACATTATTAGAAGTATCAAGAACTAAACTGAGGCTCAGAGGGGATCGAGCCTTTTCTGTTGCTGGTCGCTCTCTCTGGAATGACCTCCCACTGAATATTCGGAAAGCCTCTTCGCTGCGCATCTTTAAAACCTGCCTCAAAACTCACTTGTATTCTTTGGCATTTGACTCAGCATGACTCAGATTTGTTCTTGGTTTTGCTGTTCGGTGCTTTCTACCGTCTTTTTTACCGATTTGCTTTACTGTTGTATATGTTAGTTGCTCCATGTACAGCACTTTGTATGCAGCGATGGCTGTTTGAAAGTGCTCTATAAATATAGTTGAGTTGAGAATTTCACGCTGCCTCGCCTCTGTCGACCAGTTTCAATGTTTGCAAACAACAGTGACGTCATGAACATGCGCGCGCGTTTCGGAGGAAAAAGCTCTCGTCGGAGAACAGAGTCCGCTCACGCACCGCTGCCTGTATTTGCCAAATACCCCTAGCGTTTTCACTCACGAGACTCTCAAAGCCTACAAGAGTCTTGATGCTTTTAATTACGTGATATGTGGCCATGTTTAGTCGGTTCTTTTTCATTAAGCTGCCTCATCAAAGACAGGGACAAAAGTCTCAGTGGTATCATGCATGGGTATGTGTGAATAAGAAGACTGGCTCCATAGTGACAGCTAACTGCACATGCATGGCAGGGAAAGTAGGTGTCTTTTAATTTCAATTATGGACAATCGAATCAATTATCAAACCAGTAAATGCTGAGAGGATCATTGAGCAACTAACTATGCTGTAGTTTTTCACTGTACCTAACATTTGTGTGTGACGAGTGGTAATTTAATTGTGACAGTTTAATGTAACATGTTGAGTCGTTGAAGTTTAAAGAGATATAAGATGAAGCACAACTTTCATATAGATTCTACATATTTACACCTTTGTCTCAATAAAATCACAAATAATGTTCAACAGTTTTCTATTCAGTTTGAATTATTCATCTTTTTGTTTCAGCGTTGGTTCATGTTGCAGCCATGCAGCAGCAATCCTGTTTAAGGTGAACATGGCAGTGAGACTGGGCCTTTCAGTTTCAGCCTGCACGTGACGATCCTGTGCATGGAATGACATGTCCAGAAAGAAAGTGAAACCAGTACGTGTGTGATATCAACTTGAAGAAAGTTAAGAGAACTAGCAAAACATCATGTGCAACGTCATTAAGCAGGATATCCAAAGACAGCATTGTAACTCGGGGTGAGTCACATAATGAAGCAGAGATGTCCAGATAATTTGCTGAAAATAGATTGCAAGAGCAATATCCTAATTCAACTAAATGTGAATAATATACACACATATGAAACAGGCACTTGTACTCAACATGTCAAATGTAGCATGTTTCAAATGCTTTTATTCATAATTATATGTTGGATTTCATATTTAGGGATAACCGACGAACACATAAACTTGCTGAGATCAATTACATCCAAAGCTGCAGTTCTCACAAGCATTTATTCACACGAGGACTCCACAGACGGGAACACTGCTTCAGAGTGCGAGGACTGTCTTCCTGAGCCAGTTACAACTTTGGATTAAGAATCACCATATGATCTCACACCTGAAGAATTCTCAGCGAATGTTGATCAGACATTGCTCTGTTGTGATGGAGGCAGCTGCACAATCAACAGGTACAGGTTGATCCTCTGTAAAATAAATCGTATGTCATACATGTATAATAAATTTTTACCTGTGGGCTTTTTTTGTTTTGTTTTGTTGTTACCAAATGAGTGGACATTATTTTTCAGACGACTTACCAGTTTCTTGTAAATGAAGGCTCACTAAACTCTGTTCAGCTGTAATAGTATCTTCATGGTCTGCCTCCCTGGTGACC